AAGGAGCGTCCTGTTGCTCGTCAGAAGGTGAGCCCGGGACGCCGGGAGCCGCCTCCCGAGCCCCGGGGCAGGCTCCTTGTGCGGTGTGGGGAGCAGGCGGGGGGGCAAGGAGACCCCCTGGCCGGGGGGGCTTCCGCGAAACCTGCCGTGGTCCCGGGTCCCCTCGGGGTATAAAACTCCCCTCGCCACCGTGGCTGCCTCATAAAAACTGTCCCCGCGTTCCCTGTCACGTTCGTGTAAGCCACCAAAGAAAATACTGTCGTTTCATAGAAAGGTACTCTTTCTTGACGCCTAAAATCGTCTGTCAGAAGTTATAGGTTGAAGACATAAAGGGGAACCAGCAGCTTGTACGAATACGAAGAAATGAGAAGAAAATTTATCTTTCCACAGCGCGAAGCATGAGGAAGAATGGTTCCCAGTCGGTATGGCGGTGTTCCATTCAAAGGGGAGTACAACGAGGGCATCATTCCTGACAAAATGAAAGATCCTTGGAAGTGGACAAAAATGGCAATAGATAATAAGCTGAATAGCAAATTTCGAATTTACATTGGGCTTAATTATTTTATGAAACTTGTATAACCAATACAGAAACTGCATCCTGTAGCAGGAGGGGAAACAAATCACCAGCCACCTGCCTAAAAGTTCAATGCTCTGTCAGGCTCAAGTCACCACGGCTTTGGTAACCACTGGCTTGCTGTAGTCCAGCAGGGAGGAGAGCCTAACCTAACACAACCTCCTCCTGTGCCAGGGAGTAAACCTACGGTGACAGCACTGCTGCCAAGTATTACTGGTCCCAGCTGAGCTCATCCCCATGTGAAGGCTGGAACAAAGTTCTGACAAGATGTGCGGTGCAAAAAGTGAATCATTAATTTTTATTGGACTGCTTCTCAACTGCCTAGAAATGGTGAGTGCAACTCATTTGCTTTAAAACTATTTTCGAGAGTGATATTGTACTCTTTGTAAAAGTAAACTAGAAGTTAGGGTAGAGACTATCTGGCACCCACTTCTACATTCGTATTTTGTTACTATTACACTTCTGCACTGCTTACAAGTGACTAAAAAATAAAGTAATATATTAGGCTGCAAGGTCTTTTGAAGTCTGTCAACGACTAAAAACTGGATCAATAGCCAGATTCAGAGAGGAAAATGAAGAAGTAATATGTTCTGGATATCTGTACCAAATCTCATTGATTGCATAAAGTTTCCATGCTTAAAGAATCTGAGCAAAAACATCATATCAATAACGTGTTAAAAAAATGTAGTATTTTAAGTTGTTGTTGTTACTAATATTATTAGGTTTTTAATTTTCCAAATAAAATACTTCACTTTGTATTTCTAACTTTTTTACATCTTCCTTTTCAGATCTTTTCAGCTAACACAGGTAAATCTTGAGAATGGTATTTTGGTTTTGCCTGCTTATTTTTGCATGGGTCTGAAGAGAACACACGCGTGTGATTTCTCATAAAACATTCTGCAAGTTCTGGCAGCTTTGTAGACAATAATTGTTTTCAAGTTTGATTCAGCTTTAAAAAAGTCTATGTTGATATCTTTATAAATTTTAAACCTCATTTTAAGAGTCCCAATTCTGTCAGACACTCGCACAGAGATTCTGACAGACCACTTAATGCCTTGACACTAGGGTGAACCAGGGAGAACACTCAACTGGACAAATTGTGCTGTTCATTACCTACATAACTCTGCTACACATAGGGTTCAAACTGTCCCGTATTTGCACCAATTAATTGTTGTATCTTTTAATTAAAAAAAAAACAAACCCAGAAACAAAAAAACCCAAAATCTCCCAAAAACACACCAAAAGAGGCATGATCTGCTAAGCACAAATATTTCCAATGTTTTACAACATTTTATACTTTCTTCAATCTTGTATTTTGTGCCTACAGCTCCTATTGCCTTAAATGAGAATACTGACCAGTTTAAAATATGAGGAATGCAAGATATGGTGGCACAGTCCCCCGGGCTACTCCAAGATCCCAGGATAAGCCAAGCCCTATTGTGCTGTGTTCGTGGTCACAAATGCAGCGACTTGGGCATCAGACGCTCCCTGTCCACACACCTGGGCCATCTGCTGCCTGAATTGTACACCAGAATGACTCGGCACGAATTGTGGCCAGAATGTAAGATACTGACCAACGCCAATCATCTCGAGATCCTATAGATAGCGATCCAAAAGGGAGAGATTTGGAGCTCTCCAGGACCGCAGTGGGCTGTGTGACCCAGTATCTCGCCCTGAGCTGGGACGCCTCTCAGGGTAGATTTCATGAGGATTGAAGGATTGTCTGTCGACGATTTCGCAAGGACTCAAAGGCCTGATTTCGTGAGGTTCAGGAACCGTCCATTGATGGATGCCGGCACATAAAAGTGAGTAATTAATGAAACTCAGAAAAGGGGAAGTTTTAATCACAGATTAACCCGTGTGTGTGTGTGCGTGCATGCGTGCGCAATTTGATTCAGAACTGTTTGTCTGTGTGTGTGCGTGCGCAAATTTGATTTAGAGCTGTTGTCGGTCTGTCTGTGTGTGCAACCCTGCTGTAAGTTTCAGGTGACCCTTGCCATTCTTGAATCTTTAAGTTGCTACTTTGATTGTTAGAAATTCCATCGAATTGCTCTGTTAAATTGGCTGATGCTTAAGTGCTATTAAGAATTATACAACCTAATTCTGTGATCTATCTCAAAAACGTTAATAAATCTTAAATTGCTGCTAAACCAAAGCCATGTAAAAAAAAATCATATTCGTGACACAAGATTACAAGAAATGCTCTCAGACTTCATTAATTCTCTGGTGATAGTACACGTTCCTGCATAGACTGCACTGTCAAGAGTCTTAAATGCTTAATCGTTGCAGACATGTTGTTGCAGTAGCTGGATACTTACTGTAGCATATTCTTTTCATGATTTGCAAAGTAAGTATTTCATCCTATTCATGTATGGAATACTGTTGACATTGTTTGTATATTCACATATGGATTATACCCAGTATTTTTTAAATATAATTAGACTACAGCACATGGGGTTTTTAAGAAAAATAGCCATCATCACAACCTGTATTATGAGAGCAAGCAGCAGCTATTATAGTAATTAATGGATTACAAAAGTGAACAAGCACAATAAGTGAAATAGCACTCCAAATTCTGTGGAATGCCTATCATCTGAAAATTAGGTCACATAGATGCTTGATAAGGCACTGAACAATCTTCTTGTAAAGACTTGACTAAATTCAGGAATGACTGAAATGATTTTTTGTTTTTCAGGTTTCTCTATGTCTATATACAGTGTGACATTACAAAGCGTTTATCTCAGATGGCCCAAGTTTTCAGGAGCCTCTTCTTGCAGAGCCACAGGTACAGGAGTGAATACTGTAGGCCATTCGTTACTGGCTCATTTTAGTGATGTTACACATAAAGGAACTCTTACCTTCATTAATTCCCAATACTATTTATGCTATACAAGCAGAAGCCATTGACAGGAATGGAATTATTCTTGCAGAAACACAGATTATGCAGTCAACAGGTTAGCAAGAGAAACTTTGTGAAGTATAATTTCCATTGACTTCTGTAGGACTGGGATTTTATCCTTGATGTTTCATGGTACTGGTAGGGAATAGCTGCTATTCTTGTTTAAGCCTTTTGCTGGTTCTCCTACTGACTTCAATATTAGCACAATTAGCTCCTTTTCCCCTCTGCTTTTTTTTAATATATATGTTTCCCTGACCTGCCACGCACAGCTTGCTCAGACTGCAGCTTTCCAAATCACCTACCCTTTCATTACAAATGCAGATGTGAAGCTATATACATTTTTCAGTACCGATGCTGATAGTATAGAGAGTTCCTGGGTCTAGATGGGTAAATATCAGGGGGTATTGATGGTGTTCTCCTTCAGCATTCTGCCCAAAACATCTGATCTCATGAGGGACACAGAAAATCCAGCTGCCATATACACAGCTTTCCAGCTCACTGCAATGGAGTCACAACTTGGAGACCTAACAGAGAGGACTGGAGCAGCCAAGACTATTGAGAAAGAACGCCAATTAAGCTTTTTGGTTTTTCAGTAATACTGTTTGAAAGGGCCAAATTTGAAATGAACACGCAGAAACAACATTCACTGAACTGTGAGAGGCAAATTCAGTGACAACAAAAATGGAAAAATAAATTAATGCAAGACTGACAGAATAAATACGATGCATCCATTATGATATTACAGGTTTTGTAAAATGAATGTAACTCGCACACAAAAGTATGAAAGGTTGAGTGTGTAGAATGAAAATCACCAAGAAGATGCTGCATTTCCTGTCCTCTAAGTTTCACATTGTCTTATTATTTTACACTTTTAGTTATTTCTTCATTTCTTCCATTCCCTCAGGTTATGTCTTTTGTAAAAATAAAATTTGATTTTGTTAAAATAAAATACATATATGCATACAAAATTCTAGTAAAACTTCCTATTAAACATTTAACTTACAGTACTGTCATAAAGTAAACCATTAATTCAGACTTTTGTCCTGGTCATTAAGTCTGTCATGGTTTAGCCCCAGCCAGCAGCTCAGCACCACGCAGCCGTTCGCTCGCTCACTCCCCCTACCCCGATGGGATGGGGGAGAGAATCGGAGGAGTAAGAGTGAGAAACACTCCTGGGTTGAGATAAGAACAGTTTAATAATTGAAATAAAGTAAAATAGTAATGATAATAGTAACAATATAATAATGATAATAATAATATACACAGCAAGTGATGCAAAATGCAAATTGCTCACCACCCACCGACTGATGCCCAGCCAGTCCCCGAGCAGCGATCGCTGCTCCCCGGCCAACCCCCCCCAGTTTCCATACTGCCCATGATGCCGGATGGTATGGAATAGCCCTTTGGGCAGCTGGGGTCAGCTCTCCTGGCTCTGCCCCCTCCCAGCTCCTTGTGCCCCTGGCAGAGCATGGGAAGCTGAAAAGTCCTTGACTGGCATAAGCAGTACTGAGCAACAACTAAACCATCAGCCTGTTATCAGCGTTATTCTCATCCTAAATCCAAACCACAGCACTATGCCAGCTGCTAGGAAGAAAATTAACTCTATTCCAGCCGAAACCAGGACAATTAGAATGCCCTCTATTGATTTGCAAGGAGGGGTACTGAATTAGTTCAAGAAGTCTGGGATTAGTGAGACTGCACAATGTCGGTTGCCCTTGGAGATTTAAGACATGCAGCATATAGATAAACGAAACAAGGCTCTTTGGCTTCATGCCAGTTTTCTGTTCACGTTCAGGTTTCCCTCTGCCGTGGCTGTTCCTAGCACCTTGTTGCCCCAGCGCGCTGAAGTGTACGAAGTGAAAGCTGGGGACTGGAGCAGCGCGGTGCTCTGCAACAGCACCGCCACGGCCTGCGCCTCGGCAGCTCTGCAGGGCAACACCCCGAATAATATCACGGTTTATTCTTTCAGTGAGGCCAGGGGCAGCAACATGTCGTGTGCATCTAACAGGTATGAGGATCATTCTTACTTTCCTTTAGCAGAAGAAATAATTGGACACTGCAGTGATTCATGGATTAAAAGCATTACCGGAGTGCTAAGTTAGTGTAACTGATAAAAATTTAAAAGAAACACGTACTGGAAGTCTTTAAAAATATACCGTAAGCAGGGACCTCAAACCAGATTTGGATTGAAAGCTTCTGAATGCTCCAAGTTTTGAAAATCAGATTTACCGTTCACCTCTGGTTTTGTAGCAAAATCCTTATGTTGCCAGTTCTGTCTTGAGTTCTAAATTCTCACCAGGAGTAACCATTTAAGGATCATATACTTTTCCAAAGTTGTTTGTCAGTTCTAACTGCTAGTTAATTTTCTTGTGTAGCTTATATCGTATACATAAACAATCTGTTTTAATACTGTTAGTATGAAATGTTTCAGCTCCCTGCAGTCCTGAAATTAAAAATATCTCAAAGGAGGCTCTTTAATCGGTGTGCGCCGGCAGTTTAACAATGAAGTAGCTACACATATTGTCACTGCCAGAGGAGAAGCTGGACTTTGGCATTGCACAAGCTCTGGAAATTCTTGTACCCTAACTAATCTTCCCTGTGGATCTGCTTTCTCCATTAGTGCTATAGCAAGATCACCAGCAGGACAGAGCTTGCCAAGCTACGGTGTCCCTCTAGAGACAGGTATGTGGGAATTGTATATAGTGGAAAATACTTAGCAGCATAAGATTAAAATAGTTCTGTCTCTCTATATGGTTTTGGCTTTTTTTTAATTACAGTGTGTGCATATTGTACTATCGATTGCTGGATGCCAGATGTGCTCTGCTTTAACATGTATGTATCTCTGTGTGTGAGAAGGAAGGATCACTTGGCACATGCCTTATGCTGAGAGGCCTTAGTGCAACCAATTATCAGCTGGCACAGCTAACTAAAATATAATAATATAATCCACTAATGTAACGCATAACTTCCTTGTCAGCATTTTGACTTTTAATATTACCAAGAGAAGCAATGAGGTGATGTCCATGTCAACAAATAAACAGTGTGAAGAACAGATTAAAGCACATCCTACCCACCAGTGGTGCTATTAATTTGCTAGAAGAGTTTTGTCCTGTACCGCTTACCCAGACAATCCCCAGGCACAGTTCAGAGACTAATGTACACCAGGATCTATTTTTGACAGGCAGTTTGGCTGCAGTCATTTTATGTTGTAGAGGAAGAGACTTTAAACAGAGACAGAGCTGGACTGAGCTATATGACTGGAGGGGTAGCGATGGACCCTGCTTAATTAAACTACAGATGTGCCCTGATATTCTGATGACAAAATTTACTAATTTTTAGTATCTTAGTGAACAATCATCATCTTATATTTCCATGGTTATAACTCACTCTTATAAACAAATTGATCTTATATTGACATTCTGTTGATTAGAAGCTTGCCAAAATAGTCAAGTATTTTTCAGCATGCTAATGTTTGCCTGAAAAGTATGCACATTGTCATTCCTTTGCTCTTGATCATGTACTATTCTAGTTGCAACTCCTCAAAATACCTTCCTTTTTTCAAGTAAAAAACAGAACCGACTTCTCTATTTTTTGTCCTTTTTAAGCTCCTTGCTGCCCTAATGACCTGATACTAACTGAAGTGACACAGTCTGTAACAAATATCAGCTGGTCTGTTGGGATGGGTGCACAGACATACGTAACAGCATTGGAGTCTCCAAAAGGACAGGCAAAGTGTCACACTCTTCAGAACTACTGTCTCCTGGGATGCATGACATGCAGCACCAACTATACAGTATCACTGAAAGCAATCAGTGAAATGGGCTTGACATCCAGTTGCACATATCAAGGATATTCTTCTAGTATGCAAATTGTAAATGCAATTGGGAAGAAAAAGACTCAATATACAGCTTACTTTGTATGGTGTTCATCTCGTACAAATAGTGCAGCTGAAATTCAATGCATAATTAATACACTCGCAGTTCTCTCTTAAATAAATGCACTTTGGATTATTTTCACGTATCATTTAAACCCTGTTCTTGTAACTGCCATCAGGTGGCCATATAAAGAAATTTTAACAACATTGCTCCAGAACTAATTTTTTAATTTAAATAATGCTATGGAATAATTAAATTTTAGACACCACAAAAGGATTCTGGGCACTCCAGGGTAGCCCTAGTGCGTCCATAGTCAGGAGAGCGCAACAATATTCCAATACTGAATTCTAGCTCCGTAATATGAGTCTGATAGAACGTTTTCTTCCCTAGTTCAGTTCAAGAATTATTTTGCCTTTCTGTGAAATAATACTTTCTCCTTGAAATGCTGGTACCTAGTGTGATAGTAAATCATATAATCTGGTTTAAAATGCACTATAGGAATTTATAATGTATTGTGGGTTCACAAAATTTGCTTATTAATGTTTCTTATTTTATTAGGTGCTTGCTCTCCTTCTGGGGTGAAGTCATATAAGACTTGGCAATAACGGTATCAGGGTATACCGGCAAGCTTCTGAAGAAATGATGAACAACAATACTGATTTACATGGCTCAAAAGGCAATTTCACCTATATCCCTAGCTCAGGTCTAAGTCACTGTGATATCACTGGGACACCTTGTAGAGATGTCTACACAGTGGTTGTATCTCCAGTTACTAAGGGGCTGAAGCTTACATTTTGTCCTAAAAAAACATATTCAGGTAAAACTTAAATTTCTTTGAATGATGTATTTTTGTCCATGCATGCTAGATGGTTAAAAAGTAATCCAAAGTTACGCAAGTAAAGGTGGCATGGAATAGAACTTTCCTATTCTAGTGTTGACTCCAGAGTAAACTTTATGGGTGCCATCTTGCAATATCTGTGACAGGAACTTCACAGGAGCATTTTGGGTCTATGCATATTTATCTACACAGGTGCCTCTTAACTGGATCACCCATAACCTGGTGAATACAGAGAAGTTAATTTTCAGTTGAGAGGTTACAGAATACAGAAGCAAATAAATGAGGATTTTTAATTGTTTTGTTTTCTAACTTGTTTTACAGAATTATTGCTTTTTAATAAAGAAACAAATCAAGAACTTCTATGAACCACTCCTAAGCGCATATTTTAAGTAAAAATTATTTAAAGTAGTAGTAATTTCCTTGGGATTCCTTTCCCAGGGCATAAATTGAATCCATTACAAAACTACTGCTATCTGATGGGATTGTACAGTTGTATAGCATGGACTACATTCTACAAACTACTAATGTTTTCCAGCTTACAACCCGACACCTAATGTTTATACTACTGTTTCATGTCATCTCAGTAACCTGTTCTGGAAGCTCTGTTGGAATAGGTAAGAGCACACAGTACATTCATTCCAAATCCGTCATGTTTGTAAAACATGTTAGCATCATTTAACTCCAAATAAGATGCAAATTTTATATATATATATATATATTTGATAGTCAAGGCTTGTGTTAGTGTTATGCAGGGTTGTCTCACCCCCCATCTTACAATGTATAATTTAAAAAAAAAAAAAATCTTACCTATATTGTAGCATGTATACCATCATGCATTCTACACTATCACAACATTTACTATTTATCTGATAGCACATAATAAAGGGAGGCTTATCTTTTATAGCCTCACCGTATCCCATTACAATTTAAAAAAGGTCGCACTTCTGATTTTTATTTAAAAAAAAAAAATTAAAAAGTGTGACTTACCTCAACCTATTTTACCTTATTTTTTCTGGGGTTTCAACAGGGTAGTCTTTTGCTTTATTTGCCTATGTAAACTGCTAGAAAACTTCAAAAGCAGCCACTGAAACAAACATTTCTGAAGACAGTTGCTTCTCATAACTAAATTGTCTTAATTTCTGAATCCTGTTATAGTGATTTATAGAGGAAAGAGCAATGCAGAACAACATACCTAGATGGAAATTCTGGTTCAGATAAGGAGGTAAGTTATAAGAGTCGTAATTCAGATTAGAATGTATTAATCAAACTTTTCCTGCTGCATAAATCTTTGGGATTGGAGGGATAAGCTTCACCAATCTTGTATATCCTAAATAGAACTGGTTTGTTAAAATCCATAATTTTTATCTCAGAAACTTCACGTCCTCCCCTCCATTTACAATAAACCCCTCTTTCACTTCATTAAGCCTTTTCTAATACTATCCTATAGTTCCCCAGAAAAGCCCTCAAAATCCAAACAGATCAAGATACTCTTCAGAACTCGTTTACTTTCTCTCCTCTGCTAGCTAAAATGCTCATTCTCCAACAAAAGTACTGGTGTTCTGGACTATTTACTGCCCTTGTCTCAAAAGGATGGCCAGAAGTCACTGCTGACTTTTTTCTCCCCCAAGGTTGATCATTGCTGCTGTTCTACAGCTATCCTGGATGTTAAGGTTCTTGATAACTCCATTCTCCCTAAATGTTCTCAGTCTTTCCTTCCCTGAAACTGGAAAGACGACATCTGTGCTTAACTGCAACAGTCACAGCTGCTTGAGGACCGGGACGAAGAAAGCTGAACACCTAGCCATATCCGAGATCTAATCCAGGACATCAAATTTGAGCTCCAGCTGATGAGATAGTTTTTAAAATGCAGATGAACACTGACAGAGATGTCCATAATCTTGACCTGTAATTTTCCCTGTAAAGCAATCTGCTTTAAAAGCTCTTGCAAGACAGTTATTAATCAGCAGGTGTGTTCTAGACCTAATGTGTCAATGAAATAGTAAAGGTTGAAATACAGATTAGAAGAGTGAAATTACTCCTTAAAAAGAAAAAAGCAGCAGTTTAGGTGCACTCAATTAAAAGTAGCTTGAAGCTTAATCAAGTATTCTAAGGCTATTTCATTTCAATTTAAATTTCAAAAGAAGTTTCTTCCTTTACAATTTTGAGAGGTGACTCATGAGGGTAAACATAATGTCCTCTTCACATCAACTGACTGGTTTTGCTTTGTGGCTAATGAAGAATTGACAGTTATTACTAATATTTTAATTTCCATTTTTTCATAAAAGACAGAACCTTTTCCCATACTCCACAGTGGTTCCTTTTTCAGCCAACATAGAAAGCAAAGTTCAACTTCAAGGGTTCTACATACACATAAAAAGTAAAACAATTACTCAAAGATATCTTACAAAAACAGTCTTCAGAAGTTCATGTATAAAGGTTACCAAAGGCAACAGGGTTTTTAACACTATTTTCAGCTTGTAAAAATAGACATCATGCATTCTGAAAGTTTCCTTTCTTCACAGAACACGGTTGACTGGGTGTCTCAGTCACTGCTGCTGATCACTTGCACAAAATGATCTCATGGGAATCTCGCTCTTCAATACATTTGTAGATGGCCCAAGAATTACATGTTGCTTCTTAGAACATGATCAGCATTTATTCACTGTCAAACAAGTCTTTCTTTAGGAAACATTAAAACTGCCCTGCATTACTTAATAAAAAGTTGGTTTTATTTCTCATTTAATTAAAACAAAAGTAAAAATAAGTATTGTTCACAACTTTCTTCTTTGAGGGTTTTACTTAAATGTTTTTTCTTTGCAGTCATCATTGTCAAACACTGTCACCAAAGCCTAAGTGTTTAACCAGGTGGCTATTAACTGGATTTTCAGAGGTCTGAAGCAATTGGTTTCTTTTGGAATCAAATTCAAGCCACAGCTTTCTGCTTTTCATATAAAGAATTCTGATATTTCCATGCTCTAACAGTAACTCTAATGTATTATAAGCAATTATAAACTGTTGGTGTATTTTTTCTTCATTCTCCCTGGCATACAAACATTGGCATCTCAAAAGTACACACTACAATCTTAACAATGACTGCTGTAGTACTATTTTCATGAGCTCCTCTCATTTTCATGATTGAAAATGAGAACTAATTGTAACAGAACATATTATTTGCATATCTGTTAAAAAAAAAAAAAAGCTGAAGAATCGTCAAGATTCCAAGAAAAAACACATTGATTCAGCTCAAAAAAAAAGTGGTTAGAAGATCTAGACAATTTACCAAAACAGGGAGGAAAAGCAACACAACCAAACCGAGCCAGATCCACACCTCCTACTGTGGCTGTGTATATGTTGCAGGCGTTGTTACTCAGGCATTAGACATTGTTATAGTAATTAACACTGCTTATATGTGAAACATCACTGGCACTCACTGAGATGATTAAAAAACTTTAGTCAGGATTAGTTTCAGGTTCTCTCCAGACTGAGGCAAATGCTTTTTTTATGGATCATGCTGACTTAAGATCACAGGAAAGGACAATTAGACATAGTGTTTTCATAGATCTAGTTTCTCTGATAATTACTAGTATGAAGCTCTGGTCTTCATGAAGCAAAAAAAGCAAGCAACCAAAAAACCCTAA